CTCTTATACTTAAATTAACCCATAATTCTTATCTGTTTAACCATGTGGCTTGGTACCTTTTCTCAGTTCTGCCTTCACATCTTGCTTCCTCTGTTTCTGGCTGGCAACTCCTGACTCAGCCCTCCTCTTCCCAGATTTCTCTTTGTCTTCCTGTCCTGCCTATACTTCCTGCCTGGCTACTGGCCAATCAGCATTTTATTTAACAACCAATCAGAGCAACACATATTCACAGCAAACAAAACATCTCACAACAGTTGAGGCTCATTTCCATCCTTCATACAAGTGCCCATACAGGAGGTGTACACACACACACACACACACACACAAGTACATACACATACAACCATATGTTGTAGATATAGAGGGAACAGGAAGGAAAGACAGCGTAGCTACAATGGTCAAAAAGCTCTGATCTGTCCTCAGAAAAGCATTCAGTCTGACAGGAGAGGCAGTCACAGAGCAGTCACAGGAGACTGTGCGTGCTGGGTGTGGGTCAGAACGGGCACCAGCAGGCACGGATTCCCTTAGTCTCCAAGTGTGAGGCTGCTATGAAGAAGAGCTGCTTTGCAAGCCCTCTAGTGGATGGAGGCCAGATCTAGGGCTAGGTATTTTTTTAACTACTTTCTGGGGGTTGTTGGAGGGCCGCTGCCAAGGTGGCTGATGGGCTCTGTATCCCCAATGACATCGTAGGGTGGCGTGACCAGATTAATTAGGTTTTATTAATAGGCAAGCACTTCATGAATTGTAATTAAGCAGATGTGCATCTGGTGGCAGTGGTGACGGAGGGTGGGAAGAGGTGGCTCTGGCTGGCCCTGGAGTCTCATTAAATATGAATGCCTTGGCACAGGTTACAGAGGAAACTCACTCACAAGCTATTGTTAAATAGCCTGCCTGAGCATCAAGGGGTCTGAGACCCTGATTTATTCAGGAAATAAGCCTGAAGCCTACTAGATACTGTGTTCTTTGGGTGAAACACAGCTGTGGCTGAAGATGTAGAGGGCAGAAGGAGTCCAGTGTCCAGATCTTTCCAGAAGCAAGGAGGCCATGGTGTACTGGGGTACAGACAGAGACTTGGCAGATATGAAACTCCTCTCTTTCTCTTTCTCTCTTTTTCCCTCCCCCCCCCCGAACGGCAAAAGTCTTTGTGTACCAAGAGGCCACAGGGGCCGCCCTGGCATGCAGCCGAGGAGGCATGAACAGACCCAGCTGGAGCTGGGCCCAAACCCCACACAGGGTGCAGCCTGGAAGATGGAGAAGACAGGTCGCTCAGCAGAGAGGGAGCCTGGAAGCAAGTGTTTAGACAAGAGGAGGAGGCATATTTAGCTTATGGAAAAACAGAGTGCAGAATGATGAAGTGGATGATGGAAAAAGAGGTCTGAACAATGAAATCGGCCCCTGTTGCTTGCATTTCTGAGAGGATGACAGATTCGAAGGATAAACTTTCGTCCAAACCCATCCTGATTTTCCATTTGATCTCTGGGAAACATCCCAGAAGCACTTTTTGCGTTTTAGAATCTTAGATTGTTTTAAATTTGCCTTCATGCTGCCTTGCAACTGCGTGTTCCTGTGTACCCCGCCACAGCGTGCCAGAGGACACTGGAATGTCCTATGTATCTTCTCTAGCATTTTATCATGAAATGCCCTTTCACCTTTCCATCAACGCAGCCTGCTCCTCCCTAACCTCAGTTCACATGAAAGCCCCTCAGAGAAGCCTTCCCTGGCACCACAGTCAGAATCATCCACAGCATAGTTTCTGTTTTCTCGGGTTGTAAGCGGGGGAGTGGAGCCAGGGTCTCTCTGGGCAGAAAGCTTAACAAAGGCTCCCAACCTCAGTTTTCTTGGCTTCAGGATGGGGAAGAGGACAGCCCCTTCCTCAAAGGGTTGTGAACTGTAAGGTCCATGTCCACTACAAGCCTGCTGGGGACTCTACATTCCTTGATTGTCAGTCCTGATGTGACAGGAGGTACCAGGGCTTAGCTCTCTCTGTACTAGCATTGGTGGGGTTGGTGACCTTTGCTGCTTAGCTGGGTGAATAAGTGAATGGACTAGGCAGAAGAGGGATGCTTTGAGTGAGCTGGCTGTGTTGGCAGTTTATTTTCTTCTGCAGGATCTTGGGGGCCCATGTCTTGGCCAAGTAGTCACCCCAGGCACAGAGAAAGTGAAATGAAACATTTGGGGTGGCATAGGCATGTATGCCAACCTCAAAGGCCTGTGTGTTTTAATTAGTTTAATTAATGATGGCACCAACTGGCTCATTACCTGATGGAATTAATGGGGATCATTTGTCTCCCTAAAGCAGCCGCTTGGTGCCGCAGAGGCTGTCTTGGGGAGGAGGAGACAGGGCACGTTCCCTGCCCTGGCTGGATTCTTGACTCTCAGCTCCCTGCTGCCTCTTCCTCCCCGCGGCCTTCCCCAAGTCACAGCTCTTGCCGTCAGCTCCACGCTTAGTTCCATGTTGCTTCAGGCCAGACATTTTATGTCTAAGTACAAACGCACACACACATTTTAATAAACAACAGTTACGATGCCGGGCAGAGTGGTGCGTGCCTGTAATCTCAGCACTTGGGAGATGGACACAAAAGGATCGGGAGGTCAAGGTCATCCTTCATTACATAGCAAGTTCAAGGCTTGCCGGAGATAACATGAGATCCTATCTAAAAGAAAAATGCACCAGATCATGATGCTGATGCCGACAACAGCTGCTGTAGATCCCTCTATCTTCCTTTAACATTCTTCTCTCCTGATAAGTGACCAAGTCCACACTGGCCTCATCCCCAGCTTGTGCTGTCAGAGCCGCACAGCCCTCTGGGAGCTCTCTGGAAACTATCTTAAGAGGAGCTGGTCTCTTGCCTCAAAGGCCGATTTAGGGATAAGTTTGAGGCAAAGCAATTAGGCTGTGAAGTCAGATTCCACTGTGAGACATAGGGACTGTCTTTCCCCCTCCGACATCTGACGCCTGAGTGCCAAGCTCTTCTCCCTCTCGGCTGGAAAGAATTGCCTTCTGCAGCCAAAGCTGAATCCTACCTTCCTTATCTGGGAGCAGAATCACAGCATGCTCAGAAAGGACCCATGTCTTTTCTGAGAAGCCCAGAACACACATTCTGGGTGAAAGAAAATTCTGCCTGGAATCCCCAGGCCCCTGGAACTCACAGCTGTGTGCAGCCGTTTGTAAGAAAACACTGAAACTCTTGACCCCTTTAAGGGAATGTGATGGCTAGATAGGAGCAAGGACTCCTGCAGGAGGGAGTCAGACTGTAAATCTCCCCGCAGAAATACTCAACTGGACCTGCATACTTCCAGCAGTGAATGGTTGGCCACCCAGAAAGCAATGCCTACCACAGAGCATGAATGAGCCAGAAGTTGTGATGATATAATGATGGAATATACTTTCTGACATATTCTAATCACATTTACAGCCCCATTGGGGTTCCTATAGCTGTGTGTGTGTGTGTGTGTGTGTGTGTGTGTGTGTGTGTGTGTGTGTGTGTGTGTGTGTGTGTG